AGTTTTCTCACTTTATTAACATAGCGATGGAGCTTTGAAGACTTCGGTATGTCAATCGTTGAAATCTTTTTGAAGACAAATTTTGATAAGTCTTCGCTTTGATTCTCTATAAATTTCACGATGGAAGGGTCACTCAATTTCTCGATAAGTTTCACGATGGAAGGTTCACTCTTAAGTGATCGCTCGTAAATTTGTCTCTCCAAATATTCATTCTTAAATTTTCGCTCATAAACTAGTGCATCGTAAAGGCTGGGGAACGTCTTGTTCCCCAAAAAGCTATTTCAATGAGCCAGCGATATATCTCAGTCAGCGATATATCCCTAACAATGTAACGTTGAAAAAACGACAGAAACCGTCTGCATTTTATAACCGGTGTCCAGCCTTCGGCTGGGCCCCGGTAATAAGGGACGGACCATTAGAAAAGTTATGGGGGTTGGGGGGAGGAGAATTCTCGAGCAGCAGGAATTTTTTTTCGTTACCAAATTCCTTGTATGATTTTTTTTAGGCCATAGCATGAATATTTCTTAGGGTTAATTGGCATGCATGAATTTTTTTCGTTTAATTTTTTGCGCGAATGCTTTTTTTGTACTTCGCCCGCCCCCCCATAAGTTTTCTAATGGTCCGTCCCTAACCTGTACACTCAGGTACACTGTAGATGTTTAAGATATTCACGGTCCCACACAGTCGTCATCTCGCGGCAATCTTTTTTGAACTCAGTTGTTGTGATTTATTCAGAAAAAAAATTGTTTTTCTACTGATAGTGATTGTTGTATGTTGCATTGCAACATAAGATGGAAGAGAGACGAAACGAAAATAAAAGAAGGTGGAATTTTGCGAAAACGGACAGAAATTTTATAATGAAAGAAAAGAAATAGGTGCACCACAACACTCGGCATTCTGTGGCCATCGGAATGAGAACTACACTGAAAATTAAAAAGATCTGTCTCAGCCCCAAAGTGTCAATTCAGCCCAGCAGGATCCAGCACGCCAAAGGCTGATTCAGCCCTTCCTGGAGCCATTTGAGCATAATTTATAGGCCAAAAAAGCACGATCAAAAGGTTATTCCAGCCCACGGTAGGGCCCATTTCAGCCCTGGCACCAAATCAGCCCTAGCTAATTGGACTGTATTGGCCCTGATTTAAGGGAGCCAAATTAGACTCAAAAATAGGACTGTATTTTACTCACCGAAACGACCCTATTTTTAGGGCTAAAATAGATCTTTCTGAGTGTAAACATGGGAATGTGTTGTATTTCTATATAGCAAACAAACAGAAAGATAAAACGAACATACTGTCTTTATTTGCTGCTAAGTGAACTCTTCTTGTTAATTGCTTGCCTTTCCTAAGTGCGTGCATTTAGAGTGTAAACATGGGAATGTGTTGTATTTCTATATAGCAAACAAACAGAAAGATAAAACGAACATACTGTCTTTATTTGCTGCTCAGTGAACTCTTCTGGTTAATTGCTTGCCTTTCCTAAGTGCGTTTTTCACCCACTCACCACAGGAGCCTCTTTGCTCGCTATAATTTTCTTTTATTTTCTTACCTTTACTTTCTTAATGTTTTGTTCCCTCTTTTTACTACCTTATGAATCTTTTTTCTGTAGGCTAAACACTTATATTTTCTATGAACTGCAAATTTTTCCCGAGACCTAACAGAAAAATGTATAGCGCATTACGTTACTTTGTACTTTAATAAGTTCAGTTAAACGTTTTAGAGACCTTGAGAAGTAAATAATGAGCCCTAAACCATATTATTAATCATAATGGAAGCACTGGATAAAGCTAATAATTTCGAAGGGTTTTACTAAACTAATTAAGAAACAAATTCCCTTCATTTGCTTCCAAGAGATAGGATATAGATATTAGATATTTTAGGAACGCCTTAAATCTAGAAGCCATGATATGAATGGTAATTTAAAAATGTAACGTCGCTGCAAAGGTTTTCTCTTTTCCAAGGGCTGTTCTTATATCAGTTACATTTGCTGAGGCTATGTTAATCGGAGCACGTATGAAGCACGAACACCATTCCATCAAAATGTTGAACTGATCTTAGGCTGCAAAGGCCTAATCTTTAGCGGGTCCAATTGTAGGTGAGGTCGTTTGACCCGGTTTTTCAATAGCCATACCTACTCTCCTCGAACACTAAATACAAAGAATTGCCAAGTACCTATTTATGGATTAGAGTTTCCAAAGAAGTCGGGGTTTTTTTCGCGATAGACGTATCCTGATGGCAATACGGTGACGCCTCTAATGGATACTCCACAAATAGGTGCACGATTCGATTTCCTGATTGAGGCAATTTTGCATTTTGTGTTAAAAGAGATTAGTTAGGGTAGCTGAAAAACGGGGTCGAACCACCTTAAATATTAAATGTTGCATAAAGTAACAAGATGATAACATCAGCGTGATGAAGTCATCAAATAACCATTTTTAAAAAAAATTATGTATAAATATTAGCTATCACTCGTTTCGCAGTCGTTTAGTCCCGTCATAACATGTCTCTGTTCATTTTTACCCCGCAGTGACATCAGTGGCTCACACGGGTGAGTTCACACGAGGCAGCATGACAACACCCGAAGGTACCCCGCAACAAGTTGGAATTTGTGGAGCTTGTTGCGATGGCGAGGAGATTTATTTGACACAATTTTTGTTGTTCACAAAAACTTTCTTTTCGCCAAATTTCGTAGAGACTGAAAAAACTAACTGAATCATCCAGACAATTCAAGAAGTTGTATACCGACTTTCGTTATAATACTTTTCAATTCCACTCGCCCTCGAAAATTTTGCCGAAAAACGTTTTTTGCAGGTAGGCGAGCATTGTTTTCTGCTTACTATCTGGGAAAAGGAAACGAAACTGCCCAAAGCGTTGTTTACAAGCTGAGCACTACGCTGGCCCTGTAGATTCTGATACTGAGTTACAGCGTTGAAGGTTCAGCCATCACGCAGAGGATCTCACAGGATCCAACGTTTACCTTTCACTCCTCCCCGCTCTTTTCGGTTTGGAAACTTGCGACATTTCCCAATTGGGGGTTAATGTAGATGTATAAATGTATTTTATTTTCTTCTTCCGTTTTTTTACATTTCAGTTTTCGCGGTAACCCGGGGAACGCAAAATAACTCCTGTAGATGTGTTATTACATGTATTCTGTCCCTTCCCCAGACACACACGACCTTCATCAATCGAAAGGCATTCTAAAAGTTCTTGGTGTGCTACTCTATTTTCATCAAATGTGTTTAAATAACTCTTAAACCTTTCTCTCGCGTATCGAGTTTCGCGCTTGTACTCCCAGAAGACTGATACCATTTTCCCTCGAATAGTAGCTAGGAGGGATTATTTATTTTTTCGCATGAAAAGGGAGCGATTAATTGAGGGATGTGATTATTTCAAATATTGCTAAACATTGGCTTTTAAGTGTTCCAAATTTGGTTCCTTGATTAATTTTCAGAGCTTGAATCCGCACTGTTTTGCTAGATCAGCTTCCCCTTCAACTTGACAGGGAGTGGATAAAAGAAAGAGAAGATGGCGAGAGGGGTTGGGGGAGGGGGGCGATTATTTCAAATATTTTCATCAAAGGGGGGCGATTATTCAAGGGAGGCGATTAATCGAGGGACGGCTATTATTTGAGGAAATACGGTATGTTCGCACTGGCACCCTAGAACTCCTTGATATGAGCGCCTCTAGTAAACGCCTGTTCTACTTTTTGCAAGTCAGAATGGAGGTTTAAGGCTTATCTTAAAGACTACCTCTACACAAGAGAGGATATGAGACTGGATATCCTCTCTTGCTCTACAACATACCTGGTAGCGTTTTCTGCGAAATAAAAAGCTACCCAGTACAGCATGAGCGGCAAACCGCACAGAACTGGAACTGGTTGAAATCGAACATCATATCCGAGTGACTGCAGGCAGATCAAGAGGGTTGACTTCCGTCTCAGTAGGTTCCAGTCCCTGTTCCTACTCATTTACTTCCGCTTCCGCTGACGAGTGTCAGTATAAACCTTCTATCTGAGCTTATCTGATATGTGACGCTGCACTCGTTACGGGAATCGCGCCGAAATTACCGTTCTCAATCCTTATTCGACATGGTTTTTAGTGCTGACTCAAGAGATATCCTGTACCCACTTGTTGCCATCGATATTATTGCATGATTGTTTTACGGATAAAATATTATGAAACCAAAGAAGTCTAATCTACCCCTCAAGAGATTCACATAATAGACCCAAGACCCGAGAGCATTAATTTGAGTATCACTGATAAAAAATTTTAAATTGGAAAAAATGGCACAGCGCTATCTCACTCTTTCAGAAATCATATGCAGTCGATGAGATTGTGTTCTTGCAGTTGGCAGCTACGTCGAGTGTAAATGTGTATCGATAGCACGTAATTAAGAGTCTCTTTGTTTGAATATCACTTAACTTGATTTTAATTCTAAAATCAAGGAATAGCTGATTATTGGACTTTTTATTCACCGTTTTACAGACTTTAAATTATCGCCCTCCCGACCTCGCGCTTGGGGGAATAAAACGAAAAAGCTTCACGGATTCATACGTTTCTTTTGTTTAAATTCCTTCAAGCCTAAGAGCCAGGTATAAATTTCAATGAATCGAAATTGTTCGATTTAACGGAAATAGAGTAAGAAGACCCATGAACATGTATTTTTTTTGGAAAGTTCTAAGACGTCTTTCAATGTAGAGAACTCTCATGTACAACACTCAAAGCGGTGACTACATGCACCGTTATACCTTTATACCTTCAGAGATCCAGTTTATCTAAGGGCCATTATGGAATGGAAAAAAATTTTTCCCTCAAACTATGCTCTTCGTCTCTTCAGTGACTTGAAGTAAATGGTCTGAACGCGCAGAACTGGGATCTATTGCGAGTGAATGAAGTTCCGGTTCATAAGGTGTGATCACGTGCATTCAGTCAGTTTCCGAACATATATACTGAGCGCGTTGAAGCCTTTGAAAAATTAACTTATGCGGAGGATAAAGGTCAGTGTATGAAGGCAAGCCTTTATTGCCGATCTTTTTATGATCAAGTTGTGATTCGATTCGAGCTTGCCTTACCTGATTTTTACGTAAAAGTAACTGTCAGAATGCAGCTGTTAAAGTTGCTGCCTTTCATTTCTCAGCTAGCAGCTTTAATTCTTAAGTAAGTATGACTGAGAATGTGCGTTTATCATCTTGCACATGGCGGGGAATTTATTTGCTTTATTCATATTTACCTTTTCCTATTTTTTTTCTTTAATACAGAGCTACCTGTGATCCGGTGAACCTTGTCTTTCTGAACAACGGTCAGTCCCTAAAGCTCAACAAACATCAAGTAAGATTATTGCTTTGTTGGTTAGTACTTATTTTCACCTAGAATTGCGAGGATTCTTTTAGTCGCCCGGGAGATGTTCTAAAATTTTACGTAGATGATACAAGATACTACAGTTTTCATCTCGCGGTACGTGATCTTTTCTTGGTACCAGTCATCATTTTCTTATCTCTGATCAGTTATCTTTTTTATAAAGGGAGAAAAATTATATTAACATAAATTGTTATATATATGCTTCATTGCAATTTTGAATAATTTTACCAGAAAAGTCAATAAAGGAAAATAAAACAAGGTGGGGGAATTTGTGAAAATGCCGTAATAAATGGACCTCACAGCCGCACTCATGCTATGGATATCGGGACAAGAACTAGCAAAGCCTAAACGTCAGAACAACAAACTTTCACGGGCTATGGACCAGTTTCTAAGAAACTTCAGAGAGCAGTAGATTACCTAGACTAGCGACACAGTTTCCTCGTAAATGACGTGAGATGACGTTTTCATCTGGCTTGCAAAGATTTCGGAGGTTGATGTGCAGCTCGTTCTCAAAAACAAATCTAATATAATAATAAAACACTGCAGGATTCTCTCAGTTTTATTGCACTGCGGTAGTGAGTTGCAAGGTTTTCGGGGGTCTGAATGAGGGTACCTCTATAACACTAAAAACTTAATTTTTTTTGGCTCTGTAACATGAAGCAGTTTACACTTCGGTAAATTAAGTAAATTCTCCATAAAATGTTTCCAGAAAAAAAAAAAAACAGGCTTAAAAAGGCCAACATTAATACAGAATCCATCAGGATACTGAGTAATTTTACTGGTGGACAAAAACCTCGTACCAGAATAATTTAAAGAATATTGCAATCTTTTTTACATTTTTCGAGGGCTATAGATGTAATTAGTATCTGTAATAACACCAAAGAAAATTTCTTAAGAGAGCCAGAGAAAATAAAAGTCAAATCTCAAAAACGACATTTACACATGCAATTTTCAGAATTTTACCTGTTTTTTCACAATTCTTGTGAAATTTGACATTTATTTTCTCGGGCTCTCACGAGAAATAGTCTTTGGTGTTATTACAGAGAACTAATTACTGCTATAGCCCTTGAGAAATGCAAAAAAAAAAGCGATATTGTTCAAATTATTCTGGTACAAGGTTTTTGTCCACTGAAAATTGAAATTTCCCAATTTCCTGGTGGACTCTGTTTTCGACCATTTCCGACAATTCCCGATAATTTCATAAGATTTCCAAAGACTGCAGGCGATGTGCGAAGACTACCGTAGATTTCCTAGGAGAAACCCGGAAATTTATTTTCGACTTTATTTTCGTTATTAAATAAAGTGAACCTGTTTCTATGCCTTTGGAAAGCAGAATCCATCCCGCCTCTATAAAAGCTCAATAGAACTGTGATCAAAAAACCTAACAATCGTGCTTTTGCTCACTTTTTTTCCCGATTCGACAATTTGTGGCCTGATTTGGTTGCTTTGTGCTCAAAAATGGATTTTCTCAGGAAACGTTTCTTAACAACATCGAAAAAAGAGACATGTAACAGCCCTTTGAACACAGGCTCAAAGTTCAACAGCGATTTTATTACCTATTTTCCAAGAGCAGAAAAGAACTGTTAAAAGACACTATGGAAAAACCCTCCGAACACTTAACAGTATTTTCTCCGGAAACAGTAAACATCAAAAATTGGCCTATCTAACAGCAAACACTAATTAAGTTATGGGCAAATAACACATATCACTAAACCGCACTCGGACCCTCGTTTTTCGACCGACCATCAACTTTCGCAAATTTTGTTTCTTCAATAACATTTCAGTGCTGACAATAGTTTTAGAAATCCCAGTTGTGTCCAACATCTATTTTTTTGAACCCAGTACCAATTGAAATATACTGAATTAAGTCATAGGGAAAAGTATTAGGAAAATCAAAGTTTCTGTGAGTAACAACGCGTATAGTTAAATTCTGAGGATCGTCGAGAAAACAGATCCCACCGTTGAATCAACTGACGAATGCAATGCCTTAAAATAAAGTGCCCATACCTGAACCAAATGCAGCCTCAACATTTTTTCGAGAAATAACCGGCAATGTGCCAATAGTGGATCAAGAAACAGCCATGCTTCGTTGTATCATGGCAAATTACAAGCAGCCGATTGTTATAAATAACCCAACCCGAAACAAAGGAAAACCAGGCTCTGTTCCTACGATCGGGGTCAGTCTATTGTCTTGCTATAATCGAACTCCATCTATCGTAGAATGTTCGTGTTGAAGAAGTCACAGCCCCCTGCAACCCTGAAAACAAGGGATTACTTCGTATGGCAAACCTGCATTTGGAGTTCTGTAACGGAAAATCCTGGGTGCGACTATCAGATGTAACAGGTCCAGTAACAGGTCAGTGTAACAACAATCCAAGTTAAGCTTAACTGGAAGGGGGCAGACAGCAAATTGTTATTGCTCGAAATATCTATATATCATCTGCTTTTGGTATCGTCAATAAGACACCATCCTCATGCGCATGTATTTTTTAGGAAAGAGCTGTCTTGATATCAAGAATCGAGGTCAGTCTCGGGGAGATGGTATATACCGGTTGGACCCAGATGGTGGAACGCATTCAAACGCGTTCCTAGCTTACTGTGACATGACGTCATACAACGGGGGATGGACCATGTGTTACACTACTGATGAATACGCCAAGCCCAAGACTGAAGTCACGTACAATTGCAAGCTTTCTTTTGGAACTGACGGGTACAGGACTGACTGCAACAACATCCCAGTAAGTTTTATGGCTTCTAAATGTATACTGAAACTGCAACAACAGCAACATTTGCGGCTTAATAAAGTGTGAGGCTGCAAAAACAATGATAAATTTTAACGTATTGGTGATCCAGGGGGGGGGGGGGGGGGGTATTTGGGTTAATATTTACTGGGTATGTACCGCTGGCCTCTCAGAGCCCTTACCCCATCGTAGTCGATCCTTACTTAGTCACTTTCTATTTTTATGAATAGAACCATTTTTTAGATTGAATGAAGAACACTTTACTTTTCATCTGAGGCACAAACATTCTGGTACGTTTGACGTCTGACCTGCTCAGAGATCAAATCATTTGAAAGGTCCACGGCTGGATTACAACTTTAAGATGCCAACAACAGCAACAACAACAACAATAATAATAATAATAATAATAATAATAATAATAATAATAATAATTCTTAGTGGATTTGTTTGTATTTTTGTTAGTTCACTGAAATCATCTTCATTGATTACCAAAGTGGAAACAAGGCCTACTTCAAACGCAAAGTCAGTCATCCCATAACAGCTGCTGGAAACTATGGAAAATCTGGAAGTGCCTACGGATTGTGGACAGGTGTTGGAACTATGAATAGTGGCTACGCCTACCAGCTGCTAATCTGTGATACTTCTTTCCTCACTGGGTTTTTTGTTTCCGGATACACTAACTGTTACAAGCAGTGTAACAGCTGGTGTAGTGATACCAAATCGCCTTATTTCCGCACAGCTACTACACAAAGCAGCTATAAGGGTGTGGCCTTCAATACCAATGGTCACCGATCCGTCAGCACTCGCCTGATGAGTGTCAGTCTGCGTTAAGATGTCAGCACTGCCGACTATTTCGGATTTAAGTAAAACAGGCTGTGGTTTTTTTTTTAAAGTAAGAGATTTAAAAAGACGGGATAAGTAAATTAAAACCATTCAGAAGATAAATAAAAATATAAGCAAAACACTTAAAGTAAACAAGAGGGCATTACTGTCAGTATTTGACAAAAGAAAATAAAAACAATTGAAACAAAGGTTTGGCATTTATTGTTAATTTCCCGGTAAACTTCTTGGCGCCTTTGACTGCATTTTTCTCCCACTATCATTGTCACTATCATTATCAATTCCGTTTCCTCTTATCCTTTTTTCTGTAAAGTTGAAAGCAAATTCCAAGAAAATACTGCTTTCCCAATGAATGACAACATTTGTCGCGGTCCTTTATGGTGAACTGAAATGTAAAGCGGGGAGCCTCTTTCACACCATTCTAGCTACGCCGCTTTGAGATACTTCAGTCATAAAAAAGTTAACCTTTGAAGTTTTATTCTGAAAGCATGTCATCTATTTTGATGTATAAACAGAAAGCTTTACAAAATGACTTTCTTGACTTTTGAAAATTTGAATAATGGAAAATATTAAAATCTCACAGATTCTCTTCTTCTCAACAAATCTCTGTGATACTTCAGTAACGCCCAAAATTTCCAAGGAAATTAAAACATTAAGCTGTGCTTATTTTTACCTGAGCACGGCGTTGGGGCTTTGCCCTTTTAGAGGGAATATATCACTGTGTCACATAACCTCCAAATCAACTGTCTGAAAAGCCGGGCTTGGCTTAAATGGTTTGAAAGGAAGAGCGGGGCTAAAGAAAATCACATTAAAATGAGTTTGGAGTTTGTCTCAAATTGCAAGGAGAATAAGTCATATTCCCTTGACATTTTTATGTATGACTATCTGAAATTTTAATTCCGATTAATTTATTGTTCCTGAATAATTATAACTTGTTGAAAGTGTCATTTTGAAATGCTAAATATGAAGCTTCAATTTAGTAAAAAATTATTTATGCTCCATGTTCCATTAGGGACGGTTCATTATTTATGGGAATGACCGGGTCGGGAAAAAACCGAACGGGCTTTGAAAATTTTTCTTGCCGTGGCGACGGGCTTTGTGTTTTTTTCTTGAACAAAGAGACCGGGCTTTAAAAAAAATCAACATAAACTAAAACTGTGGTAGAAACGCGGCAGTCGTTTGATGAGAACAACACATGGAAACTGTATTCGTCGTTGAAAATTCACCCGGTAAATTGTTGTACTTTCATATCAAATAAATATTGCTACATCGAGTGCCCAATGATTTTTAGCCACGTGCAAACATAAAGAAAATGTTTAGTGACGGCATGTTAACAACGGAAGAAGAGCTCCAGCATTTTTTGGAGAAATTTGCCGTGGAGCCGCACTTGATCAGGGCATACATTGCCCATTTAGAAGATCTTAAAATACAAAGCGGCATTAGAACAAGGGGGCGCGCAGAACAAAAGCGTAAAATGATGTCCAAAACGTTTGAAGAATATGCCTGGCGCGATCTCGTAGAGTCTGGAGATTTAAAAACGTTGCTTGTATCTGACCTGAATAAATACCTTAAACATTACAAACTCGTAAGCAGCGACACCAAAGCTGAAAAGATACGTAGAATCTCGTTGCACGTGCTTCGCGGGAACCATGGTCAATAGGAAGATACGAATGAGTTTACTGACGAGGAGACGAAGGAATGTGGAACGGAAGATGACAGCGAGGAAATTGACAGCTCAGGGGACGATGAAAGTGAGGAGGATATTGTCCTTGGAGAATTGTAGACTGCAAAACAGTCCGTATTTTTGCGTATTCAAGTACGCGCGAGCAGTCAAACGAAAGGTCTGGGACGAAGCTGAAAACAGAGAGCGCTAAGGGCGTGTGAGGCGCGCGTAAGCCTCTTACGCCACGCTTGACCGATTTCTTACTGATTTTGAGGAAAAAACTGACTGTTTTGCAGTCTAGGAGAATTGTTAAGTGGGCCTGACTCAGACCAAGACACGATGGCGACTTCATCACGCGAACGGGAACGTTATAGCATCGATGAAAAGATATGGTTTGTCTTTCAAAGCGATTCAGCTGAGGAGGAATTTTATGGTTTTGATTGAGTTTGCAAACAGTTGACTTTTTAAAAAAATTAATTCGGGTCACTATAACAGAACCTAATATGAAACACTATAGTATAAATCCGTTTCATTTTTTCATGCCCTGTGGACTTTAGTTACCAGTCTTCCCATGTCTTGCTGCTGCAACGGAGACCTGGAACAAAGTTTTGAATGTCCTCGTGTACGTCTCGCGAAGGTGTATAAAAACATGTTTGTGGAAACTTATTCCTTTAAAAAAATGTCGAATACTTTCAAGGGAAACGTTACTCCACAAGAAGCTCTATTTGGAGAGGTTGGAAAACTACAAACGCGTCTTGCAAGTCATTTAATACGAACGGTTATATATCCGTGTTCAAAGATGTATTTAGGACTTTTTCACTTATTTGGCAAACGATGAAATGCCTCAAGCTGGAATTTTTATTGCATGCCCTAAGAAAAATAATAACGCAGCAAATTTTTTTTTGTCTTTGAAGCAAAATAATTCGGATGGCTTCATTAGCGCACCATAATTTTTTTTAGCCTTAAAAAGAGACCAAATATAAGTCTGTATGTTGAATATTCGCAGACTTTAATATGACTTTTTCGAGGATTTTAAGTTTGCTTATAAGACCACTAAATTTTACGCAAAATGACTTGTCCGCAACTTCGAACAAAAACACGAACTTGAATATCTCGAAAAACTTGCTGCGTAAAGTTGGGATTTCAAATTCTTTATGCAGCAGAACAGTTTAGTTCACTATTTTCAGAAGACAAATTAAAGCAAGGGGCACACATACACCAAACCCATGATCCGCCTTCCCCGCGCATGTCGTGGGAGAGCTGCCGTGCGGTTCCCAGCCAACAGCTCCCACATGTGTTGTGTGGAACTGGCACTTAAAGGACTCGCCTCTGCAAAAAAGTGTCTCGTACAAGGAGTTTTTCCCTGTCATTGGTCGAAGGCAAAACCTCCGTCCATGGCTGGCACTGTCCGCGTGATATGGGTGTGCGCTTGCGTAAGGTTAGGCTGTGGGTTGGTGTGTTTGCCCCTTGCTTTGATTTACTGGTAATTTGTGATCCACTTTCCCTGCGAATGTCGAACCTCTATGCGGTTCCCAGTCAACAGCTCCCACATGTGTTGTGTGGAGCTGGCACTTGATAGACTGCTTTGTAGTCACCTCGGCAGTAGGGGTTTTGAGACGCGGGTTTCCATTTGAAGTTTTCCATTTGAAGGTTTGTTAAACTTAGTTTTGGTTCTTTGAATCAGGCTTGTTTGGGGAGTACAGCTGACCTTGAGTTTTACCCACAATCGAGTTCCTGTTTTGTATGTTTTGTTCTTCTGGGCAGTTTCACTGTAAGCATTTAACTGGTTCTTTGGTAATTGTCGGTTGCGGCTGTGTAGGCTTATCTAACTATAGCAAACCTTTTTCAATATAGGCGATAAGGTATTTTTAAATACCTTATCGCCTATATTGAAACTGGAAGAGTTTCTATTAAAATAGAAACTCTTCCAGTCAGCTAGCCCAAAATAAGTCTACAATTTGGTTATTTAATTCGCTGTGTAAGCTAGTAGAATTAGTAGAGTTGTAGAGTTGTTGTCAGTGGCTGTTGAGGATTAAACTGCTATCTTAAAAAGAAAGACCAGAGACTTGGTCCTCTCGTTAAAAAGCCCAGCGAGCTTCACAAGCCCTCAACATACTGTCCACACTCTTGTAGTGGTAGCGTGGCTCAGTGGTCTCGGAGTTGCCTTGAAGTCGAAGCGCAGATGGTCCAGGGTTGAATCTCAGCGAAGCTGTTTTCTTTTTCTTTGTTGCACAATTAGTTTTTTTCGTTTAGCGTTTGTTTCTTTTTGTTTTGTTTTTAATCATATTTTCCCCTTTGGCTTGTTTCCTTTTATTCTTACTGCTGACCCTTCACACTTTGCAAGGTTTTTGTGATGACGTATTTCGTATTAATGAACCTATTGACCGAGCGCACGGTCCTTGACTTAGCGCAGGCCAATACTGATCAGTCTATTGCTTACACTGTTAGGAGAATGACCGTTGACGTGAAAGGCAACACCTTTGTAACGCGTATCAGTGGATGCCGTACGGAAATACATAGAAAAAGTATCCCCACACCACCAGTTACACTTCTTGTAACAATCTGTGTACCCGGAAAGAAAAAAGCCCGAATAGAAGGCATGATCACAGATCAGTAGCTGATAGGGGTAAGTGTTATTAGCCCCTACTCCGTTCCACAATCCAAGTCTGTCAGCAAAGGTCCCATAGTTACTAGCGGCCTTCGTGGGTACTTGATTACGTCGTTTAAAGAATGCCTTGTTTCCAGTTTGGTGATCTATGAAGATGATTTCTGTGAACTTGGGAGAGAAAGATTAAGATATAAGTAGTTTTCAACGAACTGCATTTTTTTTTACAAGCTAACGACTACAACCGATCCACATTACAATCGGAGAGTAATGTCTGTTGACACTTAAGTCTTCCAAATTAACATAAATACGTATATCTTAAATATCTCAGAATGCCACCGCCTCAGAGCGTACATCTTTAACCTAAATTCTTCAATCTTAAATCATTTAATTGCCGAATAGCAAGGCTAATCATTGCAATGTGTAATGTTACACTACTTTTGGCAGGATTGACAAATGCAGGTGAAAAGTTGTGTCATGTTATTTGACTTAATACTTAATGTTACAGGAGATACTGAGAGATAATTCACTTACAAAAGGCACAATGACTAATTGTGCTAGATCTGTAAAAAATATGTTCTTTACTTGAGTGTGTATTTAGCACGAAAGTACTTTTTGAGGACACTATTTTTACTTGCTCTTACGGGAGATCGAAACATCATTCTTCTTCTGTGGTCATCCAGGCCAGGCGAAAGTCTAGCCGTTTGCAGGACAAAGACAGTACCCTTATTTCTCAGATTGTTTAAGACCCTGAGTATTGGTCCGGTCCCGGGAATCAAAGTAGCGATCTCCCACTCTACAGTCGAGCGCGGTTCCATCGACCGAGCTAGTCATGCCAAGTTTATAAAAAGTCCGTCTGTTCACAGATTAATCTTTTGCTTAAAAAATTTATGAGTTTAGCAAAGGAGAGGAGTACCCAGTGCCAAGCAAACAAAGTTTAATTCGTTGAAGAACCTTGAAAGAGGAATCTGCCGCCATATTGGATTAGTATGGACGTTTGTGAACACAACAAATTTTCGCGGATGAAGAAATCTAAAAATAGAACTTCACACACTGTGAAATTTATTGGTAGCGGATGGAGGCTCTGGGCCCATAATCTTCTGCTTATAATTAATTTGAGCGAAAAGACGATTCATAACGGTTTTGAAAGAAAAAGTCGTGCCTCCGTCTAAATGAAGAATCAAGAAACTCAAAAACGACAAAGGGAATTTGGGGAGAAAAGAAAAGAAAAATTGATGAGGCAGTTATATGTGAGATAAGAACATTTTTTCGTTTCCCAGAACATTGTCTTTTAACGTTTTCTATCAGTTGAAAGAAGGTAACCTTAAAATAAAAAAGTAGCCTTAAGGAAACCCCATCTTTTCAGTTTTTCTTTCCCATAAAGAAATATAACTTACTTACTTCGATATCGTTGCAGTTCGTTCTGTACCCGTCAGTTCCATAAGGAAATAAAGCATTATACTCGACTTCAGTTCTGGGTTTGGCGTATTCATCAGTAGTGTAACACGTGGTCCATCCTCCATTGTATGACGTCATGTCACAGTAAGCTAGGAATGCGTTTGAATGGCTTCCTCCATCCGGGACAATCCAGTACATACCGTCTCCTGTGGAATGGCCTTGACTGATAATATCACTACAGTCGGTTGCTGAAAAATACATGTATAAGTTGTACTTCATGTTAAACTGCAATAGTTAGCTTGTAAGTGCAGCGATCATTTGAAAGAGACGTTGTTAAGGCGTCCGGGGCTTTTATAATCCGTGCTCCGATTCACGCCGTGTTATCAGTTTGAATAACATAAAAATATGTTTACCTTGTTTCGTTTTCTTTCTTTTCTTCATAAACAATGAAAACGGCATAAGAATGTTACAAAAGTAGCCTGTAAAGGTCTATTTCAGCCATCCTTGCATGCCCACGATTACGGACTGATGGGATAAGAGCCTTGTCATGTGCTTTCTAAGGGGGTAAACAACTGATAAAAACTGTCAATACATCGCCAACTTTCTGGTGGAAAAAGTGCAATGAAGCCTTTCCGGGGTATCAATTTTTTTGAGAATACGCCAAAATACTTTTCGTTAAATCTCGTCCGTCTAGTCGTCCTCGTCCTCGAATCTAGAGGTCTCCTCCGGCGGCCGGCTGACAGGGACTTTAAGATACGGCGACTACGGACTACGAACTACGACTGGACGAGCGTTGTCTTTTCTTTGTAGCTTTGGGTTGAGTAGTGCAAAAATAGAACGTTAGGATTGCAGTATGCAGTAGACCACGAGAGAAGAGAAAGGGAAACAAGCAAAGATTTTCTTGTTGTCATGTTCATTCCACAACACAATGCAAACAATTTGCATGTGATCTTATCTCGCAGGAAAAGCCTCGTGGTTCTGATGCCCAGTAGCATGTTAAACCGCAGTCGTAGTCCGTCAAATTGACGAAAATTTATCTGTACATTTTGCTTGACTAAAGTCGCTATTTCATTTCGAGAGAATAAAAACACTCACCCGTGATTTAATACTCGTACTGATAAATTTTATAATCTTTTTGCCCTCAAGCAACCACGTGACATTGCTTTTATCCCATCTACCCTAAAGGGCAAGCAAATATGGCGTATCGCGAATAGGGTCTATTACCCATTACATTACCGTAAAATTCCGAAAATAAGCCCCGGGGCTTATATTTTTCAAACGTTCTTTTTGAGGGGCTAATGTACGGAGGCAAATTTCCGTTTCAAAATTGATTGGGCTAGCTTTGTTTTTGGAAAGAAATTTTACTGCTATTCTTTGTTTTACGTTGTACCACAAAACAATTTCCAAGTACAAGACCCCCGGGGGGGGCTTATATTTGGAGGGGCGATTTAACGGAAGGTTTCTTGCGTTACGAGCTTGGGTAGTTATATTTGGAGGGGCTTATACATAGAGGGGCTTATTTTCGGAATTTTATACGGTATATTTTTTGTCTAAAAAAAAATCCAATAAAAACCGATAATTTTGTCTTGCTGCGATTCTTGTTCGAAGACGGCACTTATTGAAGTGGGCTGCTTTTTTTAAGTAGGTTCGGTATTTCGGTAATCATGATCACCTATGTCACCACAGTTTTTCCCTCTGACTCCTGAAGCGCATGCGCAGTAATAGTAGTCATCTTCGTACCTGGCCACACAAGTTGAATTGTTCAAACAAGGGTCATTGAAGCAGGGAGTCTGATTTATATAAAAAAAAGGACAAACAAATGATGTCATCATTAATTGACAGTCTGTTTCAAGGCTAACCCGCTAACCCTACCTACGTTAGCTTCAGATGTGTCGTGTCCTTAACTTGTCAAAAATCATACCTAGCTAACAAGCTCTTTGAATATTATTGTCTCATGGAGTCTGAGAGATCAGGAAACGCTTTCAGTGCTTTGATAAATGTGACGTTCAGGGCTCTAACAGTGAGAATTAGCGACCAGAAAAGGCTTAGTGATACCTTACAGACTCGTTATAACGAATGTATCTAACAAAGCAACAGCACTTGTACAAATTGGCCCGTGTTGTCATATGTGGAATTGTATAATGGACCAGCCTTGTAAGAAGGAGACTTTTTTGGCGGTGGTTTAATTGGGGAATGCAATCCGTTCTGGGAAGAACAGTTGTTTGTGTAAACAATAGGATTTCACCTAGCCTGCGAACCGCAGATGTTTCTCCTCGCTCATCGCTGCTGAGTGACGCTTCGCGTGGAGGAACGTCTGCGACTCAGCGACAGAAATTCCACACTGATGACGTAAATCAATGTTTACTTAATAAATCCGGTAGTCATGGGGTCCCAAATGCAAATTTGTTCAATTTTACGTTCTCCTGGTCGATTTTGGAAAAGTGTTGTGTTTATCTGCTAATGAGCTCCAACAAAACTCAAATGCTTCTTCTAGAGAAGACTATATTCTACAAATATTGACTGTTTTGTTAGAGATTCATCGCGTTTACATTTGACCTTTGCCGCCTTTTGTCACAGGGTCCAGAGGAGTTTCGTGTGAATAAATGAATTACTTATTTAAAGTCTCACCTTGAAAAATGTCTATACCAGTGTCGCTTAGCACGATTAATTAGCCCAATGGCATCTTTATAAATCTACTGTAAACGTAGCCTGCGTGCAGACGATAACTAAAGTTAACCAGAGTTTAATTTCGTCTGCGCGCAGGCTAGTGTAAACGATGATCGACTTTTGAAAATCGATGACCGCAAGCCATATCCTCGCCGGCGCACGGCAAGTCGCCCGAAGGGTGAACGAAGGCCGTCGCCCGAAGTGCCGAGTAAAAGAAAGGACAAGGGAGGAAACTTGTACCACGTGTCTTCGTTCGCTGTGAACCGCATCACTCGGTGACGGAAGTGAATGAGACCGGAAACGCAAAAGCAACAGACTGATGCTAATTCGAGAATCAAAACATCAGCTGCGGAGAGAGTTTTTAAGATCTCAGAGATCTGTGCGAAGGCAACAGAGTTTTAATTGAAGTGAAGATCTTTCAAGACTGGACATTGTACGTTTCAACAGTCTTCGATGTCTTAAGCAGGTTTTGTTTGTGCGAAGGCTTCCCAGTAGTCGCAAAACGCACTGCCAAAGACGCAAGAGGTAATATAGTTGGACCACCGAAGAATGGCACAGTCGTGATGATATTACAGTTGCCTTGTACGCCCGCTCTACTCAGTGTCACTTTTTATTGCATGAGTACACGAGACCCGTAAATCACTATCCGTAATAATTTAACATTCCCCAAACAAAACTAACAAGCTGGTCCCAGCGTGATACAGCATTGAAGAAAAACATTACATTCACGGACTAGAGAAAATCGCTTAGTTATTCAGATCCAGAAGGCACTTTGGAGAAAACTGGAACCCTTGTTCAGCCGTAATAAAAAGCTTTACGCTTCAAAAGAGGTAAAAAAAATGCGCTTGCATCAGCGGGTAAATCCTGCCGACCAGAGACAATAACCACAGTAAATCGATATGTGTCATGACCTCTCAGTGTGAAACATGCGGCTAAAATCCCCGCTAAAATCACATTTGCTGTAGAACCTTCCAGAGCATAATCTACCCAGCAAAGGAAAAAAACTTTATTGGAACGAGCAGCATTTTGGCATGAGGCAAAGGTCGTGTAGGCTTCCCTTTTATTGCTCCGATCTTGAACACATTTACTTTACTACGTCATTTCCGTCACCACCGTGTTGCGGTGCACACCGAACGAAAGCGCTCTCGAGAAGCCGTAAATTTCGGTCGCCGAAAATGAATTTGAACGCTTTCTTATGCCGTTTTCCTACAGTATTTGGCAAATACATAAGAATTCTAGATCAGGTTAGTAAAATCAGGCGATTTCATTCAATTTCATTTGAGTTTCAGGGATTCGAAAATCGGCCCCAAATTTGTTTCCTCCCTTTCCGTATTTTATACTGTAAGCCGTTCTTGCGAGCCCTCAGTCTCTTGGTTTGCGGTCTATAGAATGTGTAACGAAACTGTAACGCGATCAAAATAACCCATTTCTTCGGAGGTTTTCGACGGGCTTTGATGTTCTAACGACAAACAAATCTCCTCTGGACCCTGTGCTTTTGTCTGTCATTCGTAAACAATAGCTAGAACAATGAAACTACTCCGTCGACCAATTAGCGCTTCTGACCGGATTCTGGACAGATTTTGCGTCATCAGTATGGAATTTCTGTCGCTGAGTCGCAGACGTTCCTCCTCGCGAAACGAACCTTAGCGACGATGAGCGAAGAGACACGTCTGCCGTTCGAAGGCTAGATTTCACCATTGGGTAGTTTTTTTTTTTTGGTTTTTTTTTGATACCCTTCTTTTCACGTATATTGTGACCCGTTAATTCATTCATTTTCTCCTGACGAAGAAGACCGACAGCCCGAAACTACCACAAGAAACTCCCCAGCCTGTTAAATGTTTTCATTATTTTACTCGGTGAGTTTCCTCTGCCTGAAAGGACCCAAGGGGGAGGCGGGAGAGATACTCCCTGTAATGGCCTATGCGAGGGGATATACCGGGTAAAGGACAGGGAAATCTGACATTTCGGTCGGTAAAAAGGTCCTTAAGGGCTAACCAACAGATGCACTTTATGGCTCTGAAAAAGTCGAGTACACGTTCTTGTTTTGTGATTTATGTATAGTTTAATAACAGTGCCGATTTACAGAAGTCTACAGAAGTTAGAAGGGACGCGAAGTTCTAAACTTGGTATATGGAAGGAGTAGTACCATTTGTCAATAGAAGGTATAATAGAAGGACCTTTTCTGTCAGAAATGCTATGTAAAAGAGTAAGGGGTTCGACCTCAAGGAGGCATGATCGGAACATGTGGTCGATGCTGTCTGTGATGTGAAAAAAATTCGTCGAATACAGGGTAGAAAACCCCAACCTAGATTCCAAAACCAATCAGTGTTCTCATGCATAAACCTGAAAAATTGCTTTCTTCCTGAAAATGTATTACTCCTCATGCAGTACTTGCTATGCAAGTATCCTGAGTCCAGCCTTAAAAACCCTAACAGAGTCGTTTATGACGTTTATGTTGATGGTGTTTATGACTTTATTTTGTCAATATTGAGGACGTTAAAATTATACCTTTCTGGGAAACTGCACACCTGCCCCTCCCCCAAGTCATCATTTTGCCCTAAGTGAGAAGTAATTGTTAATGTTGGCTTAAGGAAGGGTTAGGTGGGCAGTTTTCAAGAAAAGTATAATGATCCGAAGCATCTATCGCACTTCAAAGATTTGAAGTGCGACTTTAAACAATTTAATACAGAGAATTTTAAAGCAGACATGGAACAAACACCCTTCTACATTGCATCAGTGTTTGACGATATAAAAACTTATATATCTCCATTTCTGATTGGCTAAAAGCACACTCTTGATTCACCATAACCAGCTACTGTTGACCAAATTTGGAAGAATTTAATCAATTAATCAACCAATGATGAAAAAAAAAGTTTTTTTAAAAAAGTTTAAATAAAAGATGTTGTTGTTGAAGTAACTCACTGAGTTTATGTTATGGTGAACTATTTTTTGTGACTCTTTATCTTTGTTCTTGGTACGCCGGTCTAAAACGCCTCATGCCATTTCTACTATTGTTCGTCTTAGTGGGGTCTGAGCATTACGCAATTAAGATTTATTGCTTATTAAAATTGGAAACTTAAAACTTGGCCGTGGACGAATCCATCAAGGCAGAATAAATAATATGCGTATTTTTGACCACAACAAATATTCTTAGCCTTTAAGTAAAATACAAGCTAAGTCAGTATATCGTTACCCACCTTTATGCTCAAGTGATTAAACATTGAACTGACGACAAACTTGTGTGAATTGTTGTATTTATCACTTCGTAACAGTTCACACAAAATTCCTCCTTCCTTGTGAAGAAAATACGCCGCAACATTAGCAGAGAAACACGATGAATGATCAACACAAAGCTTACCGCATTCACCAACCCCTGTCACTTTGACAGTGACGAGTGGAGTAATGTTTAGGTAGGAAGATTTTAGAGCTGCAAAGTTTGCGTAGGCAAGACCGTTCTTACTCCTCTTTAAACTTTTCGAGCCATCAACGATTTCGCATTTTACGCGAAATATCATAATTACGAAGAACCAAAAAACGCATGAATCTGCTCGAGTCAAAATTACAAACATCTTTAAAATTGGATGCCAGGTAACTTGTTTGATTTTTTTTTTTTTTTAACGTTCATTGTTCTTAACGATAGAAAGGGATGATTTATACAATGCAATATTCATAATATATCATTCATTAAAGTAAGTAGGGTGGACAAAAGATATAGAACTGACTACTCTTGAATTAATAATGATAGTGAACAAACGTCACCTGCCATTTTATAAATAGTCACGAGACTGGTCGTCTCTTTCTTTTGATTTTATATGCTTCCATTTCACAGAAACTTTAAAAAGTTAAAGATTGTACAGTTTTCATTTGAGCAGTTTTCATGTGACAACATTGTGTATGAAAGATTCTCATTGGCCAGTTTTCACAAATGTCAAAACAAATTCAAGACGTGTCAAATTTTTAACCTTTCGATCGTTTGGTAGCCTTCTCACTTCGTTTTGCGTAGGAATAGCTGTTAGCGGATTGATGCTACGTCTAAAGGCAAAGGAATTCAGCGAGGATCCTGTGTTTAAAGCGTCCCTCGGCTGGTACCAGAAATGGAGGCGCCGCCATTCTGTCAGCCTTCGCACCAAAACAACACTCGCTCAGCGTCTCCCTGAAGATTTGGAGCAGCAATCAGTCAAATTCCATCGATTTGTAATCACATTCCGTCAGCGTCACGGTTATTCCCTATCAAGAATCTTTATCTTTTCTGTGAAAACACATTAAATTTAACAAACGGCTCCTTTAGGAGCCACCACATTCTTAAAAGTTAATAACAAACGATTGCATATTGTGTTTCTTTACTTTAGCTCGGCTTATACGTAAATGCATCTCGATTTAGTAGAGTTTCCATGCGCCGGAAAAAAATTTTTTTCAAAAACTTTCGGCTATAAGCCGAGACCCCCTCTAGAGCCCAAATTTTAATTCACTTCAGTTTTAATTTGTGTAAAAATCGCTCGGCTTATAGTCGAATAAATACGGTATATACAACTCGTAAGACCTTGCAATTCTTCCGAGCGTGTTCAGGATTACTTTTTTTTTCCCCACAAAATGGAAAGGATGGAATAAACTATCCATTACTACTTGAGTTACCCTATCTAAGGATCAAACCAAATCCATATAGAGGATTATCCTCCCCCCTAAGACTTCACGTATCACGTGGCAAGCAAACATGGCTTTGGGCGACGAATCCCAGGTTATTCATGAATTTTCAGTTGTTACAGTGTTGCTTTTGTTATTTAAATATTTTTAAATTTAAACATGATTCATATCTTTTTGGTAATATCTCACAAGAAGTTTCATGTCTTTCATAAAAGCGATTCTAGTTGGTCTCGTGATTAATTAATAGCGGAAGACATGCATGTTTGACCAAAGAAAATGTTACGGAGATGTTACTTGCTAGCAGAGTCATCATCTTTGTTTATGAAGTACCATGCATATGTTGGCATTATATTAATGTTGACGAAGTAAGTTTAATTACTCTCAAAAAATTATTACAAAGTGCGATGATTATTACAAATTGCGACAGTACAACTACTAAAAAGCTCCTCGCCAACTATGCATCGCGAGAGAATTTTAAATTTGATAAACTCTTATACTGAAGGAACCACTGCGTAAAATGTCGTATATCCAGGTTTCAAAACTGAATGAAAATGCAACCTTATGCCATGTTTCAAGCTAATTTTAACAACTGACTAAAAGCTAAATAAAAATCATGGTAAAACTGAAATATTTTGATAGTCAGTAACTACTAACGCAGACCGACACTCATCAGCCGAGTGCTTAAGGGTCGGTGACCATTGGTATTGAAGGCCACGCCCTTATAAGACGATGATGTAGAAGCTGTGCGGAAATACGGTGAGCTGGTATCACCACACCAGTGGTTACACTGCTTGTAACAGTTGGTATAACCGGAAACGATAAACCCGGTGTAGAAAGAATGGTCACAGATCAACAGCTGGTACGAATAACCGCTATTCATGGCTCCAAAGCCTTCCCACAATGCATAGGCGTTAGCTTGCTTCCCATAGTTACCAGCGACCCTGATGGTCAGTTGGGTTTTCCTCCTGAAGTAAGCTTTATCTCCAGTTTGATGATCAATGAAAATAATCTCAGTGAACTAAAACGAAAAGAGAGAGAGAGAGAGAAAAAAGGATTATTTGATGGAAAAGAGGAAATGATGGGAAATGTCTTTAAATATTTAGCCAAAAAACTTTTACACTATGTCTCTGATTAAAATAAAATTTCTTTATTAGCTAAAAAAGCAGCGTTAGGGACGGGTCATTATTTATGTAGAGAGGGGGGAAGGGAAAAAGGGGGTTCAAAGCTATTTCTTATCGGCTAGAAGAGAGGCTAACTTTTGGCTAGAGGGAGGGTTAAACCTTTTTTTCTAAAGAAGTTTGGGGGGGGGGAGTCAGCAGTTTGATCCGAGGTATATTTTAAGATGGGTCCATTGGATATGTGAAAGATGGGTCCATTGGATATTTGAAATAGTAATGCTAAATTGTATGAATTTTTGCTAATCATATTGCTTTTGTTTATTTAAAGCATCACTATCTTGTACAACTTAGTCATTTGTATTTGACAGAAATTCTGTTTGCACTCTAAACTTTATTGTTATTTCAAATTTTAGCCAATAAAGAATCCACACCTATCTGCTTTAATATTTGGTTTCACTGAATTTTTTTTAACGAAACGCTTGTCTCCTCAATATCCCAAGGAAAACATGATGAAATAACAAGAAAGTAGTCCTTTTACAACAACGGGGGGTCCGATAGGGAAAATGGGTGCGGCCCAAAGCGAAATTAAAACCTTCAGTAGTCGCGGGGTGAAGAGGTGCCTGGCGAATAGCACATACCAGCAATTCTGGACTCTACACACCAAATCCCCTCAAAGACCCTGAATTGTCTATTTCCCAGCAACACTTTTCTTTCAAGGACATATTACTTACTCTAAATCTCCCAGCCACAAAAATTTGTCCGAGGAACAGATCCATTGTGTTCCCCTGGATGTTGAAGGTAAAGCTGGTGTTATATATCAAATTCATGAACTTACTTCGATTTCGTTGCAGTTCGTCCTGTACCCATCGGTTCTATAAGGAAATGTTGTGTTGTACGTGACTTCAGTCTTGGGTTTGGCGTATTCATCAGTAGTGTAACACATGGTCCATCCTCCATTGTATGACGTCATATCACAGTAAGCTAGGAACGCGTTTGAATGGCTTCCTCCATCCGGGACAATCCAGTACATACCATCTCCTGTGGAATGACCTTGACTCATAATATCGCTACAATCGGTTGCTGAAAAATATCAGTACGCGGCACACTAAGTAAACGTAATTTCAGTTTAATAACCCATAGCCCCCGGCGGGCCATAACCGAAACCCATCACTGGAGATAGTCCCAGCCACATGTAAACACTACATTTTAAACCTCATTTTGGGAAAAGCTCTCGTAAGCGGACACTCGGTTTTCTGGTCCGAATTATCTCCTCTTAAGGCAGGTTTTTCTGTATTACAGAGACCACTAAAGCATTCTGTTTCTCCCTACTCGCTACCTTTAAAAACAACTTTGTTAGTTTGTTAACTTATTTGTTATAACTGACGGCAACTTGAAACACGTCAAAACATTGTTTTAAGCGGATGGTGGAAGCTTGCTCTGTCCTTTAGTGTTTAAAGAGCTGTTGGCGACATAGTGTCCCTATTAGTGCTCTTAACACTGCACCCTTAACACGGCGCTTGATCAAAGGAGGTGCTCTTTCCAGCAGATACGCTATTTCGCTGAGTTATACAGTCATCACCTATGTCACTGCAGTTTTTCCCTCTGGTTCCTGGAGCGCATGTGCAGTAATACTCGTCTTCTTCGTATCTGGCCACACAAGTTGAATTGTTCATACAGGGGTCATTTGAGCATGGGGTCTGTTTAAAATTGAAAAATCTCGTTGTTAAATTATACTCTGTTTGAAGGCTAAGATTTTTGTATGTATTGAAAAAAATATATCCAGCTGCCAAAGAGCTAAGAATGTTGATCAACAGCAAAGTGTAACGATGGTATCCAATAGAATGTTATTGTTATGTTATGAATGTTATGTGAAAAGTGTAGTCGATCTTACAGACCCGTAATAATGAGTGTATCGAACACATTTGCTCTACTTCTACACAGGTGGAATCAGTATAATGGCCCTGCCCTGTGACGGGAAGATTTTGATGGAGTGTTAAGGGAAAGGTGCAAGGTAATTCCTTTTTATAAAAAACGGTCTTTTTGCCATGGTGTAGGTTGTTGAGTTTTCGTCAGCATTAATGAAACTGCAATGAGCGAAGAACTATTCGTAGTCTCAAATATTAACACCACAAAACCAATCCACTAAATAATTCAATTTTAAGTTCCAACTGTAACAATTTTTCCATAATTCATTTTTTTTTCCTTTTTCCGTACGTTAATTAAGCTTGTAGTTCATTCGATCATATCCTTGTGATTAGTTTCTTTGTGCGAATTTAAATGTGTTTCGTTCTTCGTACTGTTTTTCGCCCGCTCGTTAGCGTGTCTATGCCTTTTTATCTTCATTAGAGCCTTCTTCAGCTTTTTTGCATATTCAACCGTATTTTAAATCGCAGTGTGGCAGTACAATTTTCAGGTTTGTTTTGCAACCCCCCGCCACCACCACCACCCCAAATTAAGCACGCTACCACCGCACTTTTCGCTGGCCGTAACAATTTTCAAACCAGGCACAGGCACGCTCTCCGTATCACGTATCACGCTCGTCTCCTATCAAAAAAATGTTCATTCATGATGAAAGTCTATGAAGCCACGAAGAAGGTGGTCGGTGCCCCAAAACTATCGCAAGAAAATTTACACTCTCTTAAAACGTTATTATCATTTTACTCTCTGCTATTCCTCTGCAAAGGAAAGTAATATATCGCTCAGTCTGAAACCAGATTTCAATACCAGTACATGGATTATATTAGATTGAATTGCAAAAATTAATAGTTTCTTCCGCGTTGAAAAAAAAATTTCTTCGCCAGTATCCGAGTGTTAAGAATGTTTAAACCCTATTGAACCTTAAAAAAAATAACAGGCCGTGGACCATGGTCTCTATTTAAATCCATCAAGCAGAATAATAAATATAATAGAAGCTAAGTATTTCACTACCCACCTTTATGCTCAAGTGATTAAACACTGAGCTAAAGACTAACTTGTCTGAGTTGTTGTATCTATCGCTTGGTAACAGCTCACACAAAATGTCTCCTTCCTCACGAAATAACGACGCAAAATTCGCAGAAACACATGATGAATGATCGAGACAAAGTATACCACATTCATGAACCCCTTTCACTGAAGCAGAAACGAGTGGAGTAATGTTTAGATAGGAAAATTTGTTAGCTTCAAAGTTTGCGTAGGAAAAACCGTTTTTTGTATGACGCTTTAAACTGTTTGAGCTGTCAACAAAAAATTCGCATTTTACACGAAATACCAAGATTATGAAGAACCATGAAATGCGTGAATCTACTGGAGCCAAAAATTTGTACATCTTGAAAGTGATGCCCGATATGAAATGGTTGCTGTTCGACATCCTTAATTGAAAGGCATAATTAGGCCAGTCATCATTATATGGCCAATCTTGTTAATCTAAGTGACGTTTTCTTTTATAAGGGATTAAACTTAAAGGTGTAATTTACTTTGCCTCTCAATATAATATTCCCAATTTTATTTATGTAAAACTTGTAAAAGCAAGTAGAGAAAGGTGACGTTTACTGTTGGCTATAGTTAAAATAAATAATGAGTTTATAAACAGTTATATAACACTTTTTTGTCGAAATACTAAGGATGAAATGCGTGGATATACTTTAGCCAAAATTATAAACACCTTGAAACTGGATGTCCCATACGTATAATTGGTAAATATGTAATTCATCATTCTTAATTATTCAAAGGCATGATTTAATAGACTATTGTATATGGCAGAAATTGGTGAGGGGCATTTTCTGTAAAGAGATTAAAATTGGCTCTACTCTATTTTGTCGCACAATACGTTTTTCCGGCATTATATATTATCCTTGCAAAATATTAAAAGAGAGTAATTAGCCATATCTGTCGCATTAGGGCCAGGGCCCGGTTGCATAAAACGTCCGTAACAACTACGGGTACACGTACGTGCACTCGTAACTTAAGTCAGTTGCATGAAATCACTTAAGTGGTCCACTTAGGGAATTCACTTAAGTGGTTGCACTTACGATTTTCGTAAGTGTTCACTTAAGTGTCGTTTATGCAATAGAAATTGCGGGTGTTGCATAAAACTTTTTTTACGGGAAAAATAGCACGTAAATTTACGGGACCTATGTAGGTCCCGTATCGTTTCTGTTTTTACTAAATTTAACGAGATCTTTTACTGAGAAGTGAAAAAAAGTATTTTTCTTCACGTAATTCGTTCTACTGCGCTTTGTTAACCTATGATGTACACTTTTGTGAAAAAAGAAGAAGAACTGTCATTTTCAGTAAATATTGAAGAAAAATAACGTTTGCATGCAAATTTCATTATTTGAGAGGCTTAAAAGTGTTCGAAACGACTTTTAACTTTCTTTACACTCACCGATGGTTAGCTTAAAAAAAAAAAGAGTGAATCGTTAATAAAGTACTATATCAAGGTTACGTGTCCCCTTAAGTGAGCCCGTAAGTTACCACGTAAAACAGAAACTTACGAGAGTGCTACGTGTGTTCCATGCAACACCCGTAAGTGTACCCATAACGGATTCGTAAGTGAACTACTTAAGTGAGCACTTAAGTGCAGGTTTTATGCAGCCGGGCCCAGGCTGTCTTCTTGGAGGCCATTGATTCTTATAACATTGAGCTCTAGTATTTTCGCCTTATCAAATTGGCTTCAATAGCGCGAGCGTGCTTCATATATCCATTGAGCACACTCCATGACGCCAACAAGCTTTGCTGTGTCCATGACTCAATAGTACACGGCATTTACCTCATGATTTATAACGAGAAACACTTGAATCTGTTCAAGAGGGTGCGCTCGATTGGGAAACCTGGAGTTAGATTTCAAAATCAGGATCAAGTTGGGATTTTCAATCGAACGCAAAATTCGAAAACGGATTTCATAGCTAAAAAATCTGTTCTTATTTTCTTTCTTTCCGTTTTTGTTTTGTACATCCAAAACGGATATAAAAAACTGTTCTCAAGAAAGGCGAAAATGCAGGGGTACGCACAATGTGTAGAAAAAAGACCACTGTTCACCGCACGAGAACAGTTTTGTAAATCCCTTTTCGGATTTGTCAATCAAAAACCATGAAATCCAGATTTAAATCCACCTTGAGGACGGATGTCTCGGAGGTAAAATCCGTTTTCGGATTTCACGTTCGAAATCCGGGTTTATGACACCCCCGCATGCGCCGCAACCTAACCCAAATCTTCTCTTATCCCCAAAACACATAAAGACCAACAACTGGGTACGATTTTGGGAACGAGGTGAAAATTGTTGTCATCCACGTAAGCTATGGCGTGTGCAAACTGATCATTGTTTGCAAAGAAGTTCGTTCAAAAAGAATCATTTTCCATTTTCTTAAAGGTTTTTTGAATGTTGTCTTAAGCGACTTCTGTAAACTGTCTCTCAGTTTTAAGACTAAACATTTGCAAACGTAACTACGAGGTAAAAATATATAGTCCGTATAGACAGTGAGCGCGCTATAACAGCAATAATAATAATAATAATAATAATAATGATAATAATGATAATGATAAAATTTAAGTCAACTGACGTTTTCAGTAAGAATGTTATAAAACAATTGGTTCATGCTTCAGCTGTGTGTATGTCGAGATATAAAGCAATGGAAAAGTTTGGAGAGCACTCCTGAGGCTAGAGTTCCAGGTGGAGAGTTACGCCTCTTTCGAGCTCTCCAAACTTGCTTCATATCTCGACGTGACGCAGGCTGACGCATAAACCAATGGTTAAGATCAAGATCGTAAAAGCACCATTGCATTACAGTGTAATTGCAAGTTCAAGTTCAAATTCATTTTATTCCCACAATTTATGCAACAATAGCAAGAGAAAAAAATCGAACTAGCTTACCATGTTAAATAAAGTATTACAGTGGGAAAGTGCATGTGAAGGTCAAAAGGGAAGGGCGGTCGATTTGGCAAGGATCACGTGGAGTTCAGGAGGTTCTATTTGTAGAACTAGTTACACCTAACTGTCAAGTAGCAGGAGTTTTTATTCTTTTTAAACCATAGAGCGTTTTCACATGACGTCACGGCGGCCATATTGGTGTTCCAAAACAATGAAATGGCGGCCATGTTGGTGTGCCAAGACAATCCTGGGGGGTTTAACTCTTTTCTCATGTAAATGCTTTCTTTTGTTCCAATAAATTAGCATAGATGCTGGCCATGTGAATGAAAACGCTCTATTGCAAGGGAGACCTTAGCTAAAATAGGTATTGTTTCCTAGGTTTTTTTATCCCACTACACTAAACCTTGTAACACCATAGTAAGTTCTGGAAGATGGTCCTTGCTGTAGTTACGAACCGCAAGAGTCCGATGAGATGAATCAAATCATAGACAACAGGCGATGTATTTAAACTTCAAAACTGAAAGAAACTTTTAATCTAATATCACGCTAGGAGTCATCTGAATTACAGGTAAGGCCTACAGCTAGAACAAAAGTAAAACCTGAAGCGTGATTATAGTCAGTACCTACTAACGCAGACCGACACTCATAAGCCGAGTGCTGACGGATCTGGCACCATTTGTATTGAAAGCCACACCCTTATAAGACGACCTTGTCGAAGCTGTACGAAAATACGGCGATTTATAATCACCACACCAATGGTTACACCGCTTGTAACAGTTGGTGTATCCAGAGACAAAAAACCCGGTGTAGAAATAAGTATCGCAGATCAACAGCTGATACGAGTAACTGCTATTCATGGCTCCAAAGCCTTCCCACAATCCATAGGTTTTAGCTTTCTTCCCATATTTACGAGCGGCTCTGATGGTTAGGTTGGTTTTCCGCCTGAAGTAAGCCTTATCTCCAGTTTTGTGATCAACGATAATAACCTCAGTGAACTAAAGCAAAAAGAGAAAACCATTTAGAACATTAAGGTTAAAACAACAAAAAAAATTTTTGAAAGGTAATTAAAATTTCCTTTGGGCTAGAAAACAGCTCTATGATTTTCTGGACTTTAACGCATTTACTGAGGCGAATTGCCAATGCAAGCTTTCACGCGCCCAAAAATATCGATGAACGACGGATAAGCGTAGTACTAAGTATTTTGAAGCGATAAAACACAGAAAGCAATTCAATTGATAACGAAGACGTAACCCTCAACTCCCTCTTGCACGAGGTGTTAATTACTCGTGCCAGATTAGTACTACCTTTAACTCCGAGGTTTAAATAGGTGATGTTATGACTGATGTTATGTTATGTTACGTCAATCACGTCACGTTGAAATGAAATCTAAACCGGAAGGGGAAAGGAAGGCACATCCCCACCCCTAATCGCGGATATGATATTCTCTCTTGTTAGGAGTGATTCTACCACGGATTTTTATTGGATTCATCAGACGGGCTCCAACTACAAGGTGTTCATGGGAAATCGAGTATCCGAGATTCACATAATCATGAGTAACCTGGAGACTCTACTAGAGGGCGGGCACAGTGAGTTAGAGATACGTGCCGACAGGTGATAATCGTGCAGATGTAATATCACCCGAGGATTCCACCCTGCAAAACTAAACGTGAAGCATCACTACAGCGTTGGCCTGGAGTTCCCATACAAAACCGCCTAGTCTGGCCAGAAAACAAAGTTAAAGCACCCCTGAAAGAGAGAAATGAAAAGATTGAGAGGAGTCGGAATTTCTCGGCTGTGTCTGTGTTGGAGTAGAAAAGATAGTTTTTCTTAATGAAACTAAAAAGACTGCTGGCGTACGTAATGAGATTTGCAAAGAATACACAAGTGAAGAAGGAAGTACCTCAGACGCGACCAATCACTTCTACAGAGCAAAAAGAAGGAATCTGGAGGAAGGTTAGCAGTGCTTGTTGCAGAACAAAACCAGCAACAATAAGTATGGCCATAGGGTAGGATTGTGTCTATTCATCCTAGACGAGATGGAATGGTCCAAGCAGTCACACAAAAATTCAATTATACTGGAAGAAACAAAAAAAAGTTGGACTGAATTAGCGGTGAAGCTTTTCTTTCGGAGACCGAGGGTTGGATAATAGCCAGTAAACTAAATTGTTCAAGATTTGTTCTTCCTTATCCAACAACTTTTATAATCCAACGAGCTAAACCCTTTTGTGGTTACGTTTATGGCGTACGTTTTAGTCCTCACTATATGTACTGGACAGACCAGGATGGAAGAAGCAAGCCTTTAGTTAAGCAGCGTGGTAGGTGATCTAACCAGCCCGTGAAAATACTCTCAATTTGAAAGAATATTTTTACAATTAAAAAGGTTTTGTTACACTTCGTAAATGGTTTTTCATTAACTTACTTCGATGTTGTTGCAGTTCGTCCTGTACCCGTCAGTTCCATAAGGAAATAAGGCATTATACTTGACTTCAGTTTTGGGTTTGGCGTATTCATCAGTTGTGTAACACATGGTCCACCCTCCATTGTATGACGTCATGTCACAGTAAGCTGGAAATGCATTTGAATGACTTCCTCCATACGGAACAAGCCAGTACATACCATCTCCCGTGGAGTGTCCTTGAGTTCTAATATCATTACAGTCATTTGCTGAAAAATATACGTGGCACACTATGTATAATTACAATTGAAAGAATAGTTAGTAATTACTTATGATTTCACTCAGTAAAACTACAACCATGACAAAATGGTTGAGAGGACGTTTCTGAGAAGTGGTCATCATTGTCGTTCATCCTCTTGGGTAAGGCACGAATTCGTCATAGAGCTCACGGCCACTTGGTGCTCATTTCGTAGTCACAAACAAATTAAAGCTGCTCGGTACTTCTACCTGAGCTCTGATACAAGAAAACTACCTTATTCTCAAACTGAAAACAGCGGCGCGTAAGAAAATGATGCACACGTTTTTCTGTATCTCATGTTGCAATACGTCAGATACATTAACCATAATATATGAAGTACACTGCTGTTCAAAACAAACGTCGGATCCACCATGCCAAGCATTAATTCATAACAAGAGAGTTCTTAGATTAAAGAAAAAACATAATAGGCCATTTTACAGTTGTGTGCTCAGTGCCCTGGCCTTTGAATGGACGCGAGGCTGGCGGTGACCTTGTTTTGCTACAAATCTTCTTGTTTTTTATATGTAAATGATCATGTTCACGGGCACGTTAGCATGAAAATACCACGATTTGCACTTGATAATCAGGCAGGTTTATAACAAAACAAGGTCACCGCCAGCCGCGCGTCTATTCAAAGGCCAGGGCACTAAGCACACAACTGTAAAATGGCCTATTATGGAAAATGCCTTTGTACTCAACAAAAATAGTTAAATAAACGAAAAACTTGTACAGTATTCCTTCGAAATATAACTGCGTCATCGGTGTAATTATCCTAGTTGTAGGCGAGGCGCTTATTTGAGGGGTGGCACTTATATCAAACAACTCATAGGGCGTTTTGACTCATGTCACGTGGCCAGCTGCTATGCCAATTTATTTGAACAAAAGAAAGTTTTTAAATAAGACTAGTAATAACCAAAGGTTACGACGGAGTGCGGGCAACAATGATCCAAGGTCAAAACGCTTTTGCTCCAGCGTTGTGCTTTGCGTAAGTTTCACGTGACAGATGATCAAAACACGCGTGATCAGATTACGAGTGATAGAAGGTCCAAACGCTCGTGATCAAATTACATTCAGTGTATTCAATACATTCTTAGAGGAACTTCAAACGAATGTTGGCTACATACATGTAACCAGGGAAGCATGCGTAATAAAAACCTGGAGATTAGGATTGTGGGCTCCTCTTTTCGCCCGCAGGAAAAGTTCAAATTCAAAAGGAATAGCTTGTAACACGAACATGGCCGCCGTTTTTTGGAACACCAATAGACCCCAATATGGCGCACATGACTTCATGCTAAACCGCTCTATAACACAAAACCAAGTGGGCTTTCTTTGCAGTTTTTAAACCTGATAAAAACAGCACGAGACCGTAGCAATAACAGCCAGCAAAGGTCTATTTCCCGTTTCGAATTAGTCATCGTATCAGGTAGCAACTGAAAAATAACCGCGTAAGCTCAAACGAATAGGCTGCAGAACGCCCGATCAACAGGAGATTTGATAAGCACAAACATTCCAAGTGAACATGAATGGCGAAACAGCCCTCTCTGTTTGGGTTCTACCGGTGTCGTTTTTATGTCTTGCAATGTTGATTGTATACGATTACTTTTCCAGATTTATGGGGTCATTTATGTTCATGATGTCAGTGCTGACAACAACAATAAAAACCATGAACACTGCAATGTAAGGGGCGTATACAAAGACGGCGCTTGATCAAAGGAGGTGCACTTTCCAAAAAACACGTTATTTCGGTAAGTAATATGATCATCACCTATGTCACTGCAGTTTTTCCCACTGATTCCAGTGGCGCATGCGCAGTAATAATCGTCATCTTCGTACCTGGCCACACAAGTTGAATTATTCATACATGGGTCACTGGAGCATGGAGTCTGTTTTAAAATATAAAAATACAAAACAAAACAAAACGAAAATAAATATCATCATTAAATTACGTTTGTTTGAAGGCTACGATATTTTTGTCTTTGGCAAAAATATATTTACCTTGCGTATAGTTGCATAGGTGTGGAGGTTGAGAATCCTAATGAGCGACAGCTATGAATATTGATCAACAGCAAACTGCAACGATGGGAGCTGGCAGAAGGGTATAGCATATCGTGCGATGTGAATCACCAAAAATATCTATGATGCCAAATGATCTCGCAAAATTAGAATTAGCATCCGCCTTGTTTTTACAGTATTAGCCACCGTTAGTTCATGATGAAAGCCATCTATGAAGTAACGAAAAAGACGGTTGATGGCCCGGAACTGTCGCAAGAAAAATATCTTAACACGTTTTTATTAGTTTACTTTGGGGGATTCCCTTGTAAACTTGAAAATATTTGGCCAAGTGCAAACAATATAACGCTCAATCCGAAACCAGATTCCAATACCATTCCGTGCAATCAGTGATCGAATCATGTGCAAAAAATTGCAAATATCCGGAGTATTAAAATTATTAAACCCCACTAAACCTTTAAACCATAAGAGGCCGCAAACTAAGGGCTTTCTTCAAGGCAGAATAATAAATATAATAGATGGTAACTATTTCACTACCCACCTTTATGCTCAAGTGATTAAACACTGAGCTAAAGACTAACTTGTCTGAGCTGTTGTATTTATCGCTTGGTAACAGTTCACACAAAATTTCTCCTTTCTCACGAAACAACGACGCAAAATTAGTGGAGAAACACGAGGAATGTGCGAGACAAAGTAGACCACATTCATAAACCCCTTTCACTGAAGCAGAACCGAGTGGAGTAATGTTTAGATAGAAAAATTTGTTAGTTTCAAAGTTTGCGTAGGAAAAACCGGTTTTTGTATGTCGCTTTAAGCTTTTCGAGCCGTCAATAAAAATTTCAGATTTTACACGAAATATCAAGATTGCGAAGAAATATAAAACGCTTGAATCGACAAGAGCCAAAAATATGGACATCTTGAAACTGATCGCCGGTACGTTTGGTCGCCAGGAGTTCATCTATTTTAAGAGAAGCACATAAAGTTCATCGCTGTAAGGCCAAAATTGTTAACCTAAGTGGGGTTTTCAGTGAAGGGATTAAACTAAGCTGTTCTTTATTTTACCTCACAATACTGTACGTATTCATAGTATTATTCATGTAAAATCAGTAGAAGAAAGCAGAGAAAGTGGCAGACAAATTACAGATGATGACTTGTTTAAATTAATGATCAGATTGATACTAAGTCTATTGAGCAAGCGTAAACTGTCATTTTATAAACAGTCAATGTGCTTTAATCACCTCTTTGACGAAAAACCATGATTACAGAAAACCATAAAATGCTTGAACATGCTCGAACCAAATAAATAACATCTTGAAATTGGATGACCTGTCAATTTGGTTGCTAATAGCTTAAGTTCATCATTCTCAAAAATGGAGCATAATTAGACGAGTCATCACTCTGTGGCCGAAATTGGTGTGTGGCATGCATTAAGGGATTAAACTTGGCTGTACTCCACTTTGAAGAACAATGAAATATTCTTTATATTTTATCCATGTGAAATTAGTAAAAAGAGGCAGAGAAACTGCTAGATACGGAGATTTAAGATAATGATAATGATCAAACGTCACCTGCCATGATATAATCAATCATTGTTATGTAATTAGCCACCTCTTTGCGTTGGAATGCGTTGCCTTCGTCGAGGCCATAGATTCGCCAAGTTCCCAATTCAAGATTTTGTGGTCCACCAGGTCACACTCTCTTTGGAACCCAGTAAAGATCAAGCTAGTTACACAATTGTCCGTGTATCGATCCGGGATCCAAACAGGCAGATAGGGAAAAAAACGGTAGCATGTATATAGCCACTGGAAGCCCAGAGCTTGCTTAGATTGGTAATCATTGGTCACCTTGCGTCATAATTGTGCATAGTTGTTAAATGATTACGACACGTTAGGCTACATGGAATAATAAGCGCAATAACTGATAAACGACTTTAATTTGTTTTATCTCATTCAGATCCCCACAACATGCTTGCAAAGATGGCCGGCATCATATATAAATAAGGCTTATCGATATGAACCTCTTCATTTTCCACTCAGCTAAAAAAAAAAACACGACATCCCTGGCACGACACAAAAAAACACTCTGGCTCCTATTTTAATGTCTGTTTTAGTATGGTCTCCTTTATAAGCCGGGTCAGCTTAAGCTTGAGCCACATCGACGTTGGTCTCCCTTAGGGGTGTAAGTTTAATTTTCCACGAGCATCCCAGTCACTTCCGTTTAGGACTCTCTCCAGGGGTTGTCCACCCCACCGAAGTCTCTTTTCCAGTGCTTTGCCGTGTAACTTTTCTAGTTATTTTACTTCACATGTTTGAAAAAAAAAAGTGATTTGAGGATGTTATAGGTTAAATTTTTCACCAGGGGTGAGACATTGTCTGAAAGCTTGAGAGGGCTTGAGAACTAAATTTATGATCTCGCAGGCGCGAAACTCGCACTTTAAAGGGGCCAATGTCTCGAGGATATTATTCTATGCTAAAGTCAGTACTTAGTACCTTTACCCATACATATGCTCCTGTAGCGTCATGAAGAAAGTATCAAACAAATTTCACCAGGGAGCACTAACGATAATAATTTTTTTGGTGATTTCTGCAGGCATATCGTTTTAAAGTTGAAACTTTGAAAAGGTTGGCCCAACTTTTTCAAGTTTCAATCCACGTCAATCTTTGCCATCCGTTGCAAAGGACGACAGGAAACAGTTCCAATGCCTAAATATAGTCTTAAATAACAAATCTGGACTATTATTTTTGGAATTCAATTCATGTGAAGACCAGATCTAGCGTTTTAAAAGGGTAGTAAATAGCGTGACGTCATAGACCCTTCAAGCGTACAAGTTGGAAGGTATATGACATGTTAGCCTGACATTTCCTCAATAACTGAACTCGAAGATGACCCATCGTGAGTGGGCGCACATACAAAAGTACATTGAAGTTAAGCTAATCATTTTTATTGTTCGAAGTTGATACTTTATCACTAGCTTTGTTTCTACTCCTGATAGTTGAGAGCCGTAGCTCTCTAAACAAAACATAGGAGGAAGTACATAATCAGATAACTAATCACATCTTCAAGATCTAGATGGGCACTGTCCATATAATACTGCTTGGTTAATCCCCTCAACTTCAACCTTCTGTTTTTGTAACGTATCTAACAAGGTATAACGCAACTATAAAACTCTTTTCAACTTTATCGTATTTACCAACATCCTGAAGGCACCATTGCATTAACTGCAAATCACTTACCATGTTGAGTGCTAAAATTATGTACTTTAGAAGCAAATCGCAGAAAGAAGTAAACGCTTAAGTGTGATTATAGTCAGTAACTACTAACGCAGATCAACACTGATCAGTCGGGTGCTGACAGATCTGGCACCATTGGTATTATAGGCCACACCCTTGTAAAGTGACCTGGTAGATGCTGTGCGGAAGTATGGCCATTTTTAATCAAGACACCAATGGTTACACTGCTTGTAACAGTTGGTGTAGCCGGAAACAAAAAAACCGGTGTAGAAAGAAGTATCTCAGATCAACAGCTGGTACGAATAAAGGTCATTGGTGATTCCAAAGCCTTTCCACAATCCGTAGGTGTCAGCTTGCTTCCCATAGTTACCAGCTGCCCTGATGGTCGTCAGGTTGGTCTTTTGCTTAAAATAAGCCTTATTTCCAGTTTTGTGATCAACGAAAATGATCTCAGTAAACTAAAACAAGAAGAGAAATGAACAAATGACTTGATGGAAAAAACGAAACGATAGACAATGTCTTAGTGAATATCCTGAAGGTTAAAAAAAAGTAAAACTATTTATCGAAATGCAAAAGAACAGCCCACAAATGACGTCAGAGTGAGTATTGCAATATTTGACTGACTTTTGTCATTTTTGTCATTTTAATGATAAAAGTCAGACTGACAAACATGATATTTTAATGAAAAAAGAAAAGCAGGTGAGAAATTGCCAATGTTAAGTCAATTTGTTTGTCTGAGTTTCATTTTCAAGCTGTAACTAAGAGCCTGGGGCCCGTTTCTCGAACGTCCCGATAATTAACGGGCCCGGTAAGCTGTCTCCGTTTACATTAAAGATCGAGGTTTTAATAGTTTTGCATCTAACCCGATAAAACTGTCAGTTAATGAAACAAAATGGAGTAGTTTTCTAGCCAGGACCCGCGCTCTTATTCTTTATATTTCGATTTGAATATTTGATTTCGGGCCCGTAAAGTTACCGGGACTTTTGAGAAACGGGCCCCTGGCCATTTAAATATTCAAGCCTTTAACTCTCAAGCTATACATGTGTTATACGTTTCCTTGTACATTAGTCAAGAGAAGTTAGCACATTTGCCTCATATCACCTGTCTGATGGACAATATACACTTAATGTCAGATCCCGAGGGAAACAGTTAGTTTTGTTTTCCCAAGGGTCCTGATGTTTCCCGAGACGAAGTCGAGGGAAACATCAGGACTCGAGGGAAAACAAAACTAACTGGTTTCCTGAGGGACCTGACATTAAGTGTTTTGTTATATTTCTAGACTTTCACTTCAACAGCAACAAAAGAATAACCGGAGCGAACCAAAACAGTCGACTCGGTACTCATAACAACACAAATTTAATTGTCAAAACCACTGAATGAATGATTTACAAACAAAAGTACTTTCCTCATATTATCTGCATCTTTTTCCTCCACTAGCTGCTGTTTTTCTTCTGGGAACTTCTGGGATAACTTTAAAAATCGTTGCTTTTTAGCTTGAGGCTTCGTTTTTGTGTTGTTGTGTTCATTCACGAAAAAGAAAACTGGCTGGACCTGGCGGTGTTTTTCCCGCCTTCTGTCACACCACTTTCCACCATGCTTTGATCACGTGCTGCAATGTA